GGGTTTTCAAAATTTTCAAGGTCATCTTAATTTTTTTTTTAATTGGACCATGTATTTTTTTCTCATCATAAATCGAAAGAATATTAAATTCCAAGCAATCCATGACAATATATGTATGTTATACAGGGTGGGCCAAAAATCACTCTCCACTGAAATAAATCTGTAATTTTTTTATTATATACTTTCTTTAATTTGTTTTTTTTTACAGATTAAAATACACAAAAAACAACTCTTATTATGAATAAAATTAATAAAATTCTTATATTTTAACGTTTTTTTTTTTTTAAATAGATAGAAAGAAACCTTTGGCCCACCCTGTATATATACATTGGCTACTAGCCATTATAGCGATAAATCAGAGATCGAAATGAATGGAGGTGGAGAAATGGCGCGAAACAAGGGCAAAGAAAGATATACCTTCGACCGGCTCTGAAAATAACTGATTCCGCGAAATCCGGGGCTGCGTAAAAAGCACTGCCGTAGAGCGGTTCGTTTCATTGGAATAAAAGCCGATTGAATTCGAGGAGACTCGCGCCCCCGGGAATACGGCCAAGAATCGGGGCTCGTTTCGTCATCCCGAAGTCCTCTTCATGAATCGCAAGCTCCGTCGTTGTACGATGACAAATTGTGTTCTTCAATTTGCTCGTTGAGGAGCTAATAAACTGGTCGTCTAGAATTTCAAAGAATTTTGAAAGATTTCCTTAATTGTAGGAAATGGCTACATCCCCACTACATGCCTGCGCGAGATTCTCCGAGAGCTGGACGACCAATTGACGGACGAGGAACTGGACATCATGATCGAGGAAATCGATTCCGATGGATCTGGTACTGTCGACTTCGATGGTAAGGAAGAAAGAGAACGATTGTTGGTTAGTGTTCTCTGCGCCTGAATTGGATTAAAATATTTCATTTCGTGAAGTGTTTCGTCATTTCAAGTGTTCCTTTCAATCAATGTTGTGACATCTTTAGAATCACGTTAATCGTGTTTAATTTGTTAATATGCGCCGTTAGCAACGAAATAAGTAGTTATCACGCGTGCAGAGCCTACACGTGCTGTCTGCCGAGTACATTCGGGTTTATTTATACACGATCGTCGAATCGGGACCATCGCTTCTCTCTTAGACTGTTATTTATGTGCATTAGTACTCAACGTACATAATCTTTCGCGACACTAAATCTTTCAAATCTGTGTATGCGTGCGCGCGTGCGTAGTGTGTGTATGTGTGTGGTTATTTTTAGAACTTTCATTTACCTAATTTTTTTAATTCGAAAAAGTTTTTTTTCTTTCCATCTATTCTAAGTATAGAATGTTTAATATTTAGATTAGAATATAATATAGAGTATTTAGAGTAACATTTAATATAAAGTAATATATATTTAGAGTATTAAATCATAGGATATTTCAAATTTTTACTGAAAATTTTTTTCAACTTTTTAACAAATTACAAATTATCATCAAATTTCAGCACAGAAATCTTGGCATTTCTCCGCCTTTTAGAACAACAAACATGTAATATATTACATCGCGCAGTGAGGATAATTTATTTCACTGTAACACTGCCAACAATATCGGGGACAATATAATTGTTCCTTTGTTTGTCTTGCATGTCACATTTTACACATTACTATGTTTTCTCTGAGGTCTACAGAGTGATTTAGGTTTCTTCATATACATACGTATACATACATTCTTCAAAGTTTGCATCATTGGATTGCTTCAAGTTTACAAATATAAAAAAGAAGAGATATGTATTTAATTTTATTGAAGTACAGATATATCATTTGAAATAAAGAAAACGTGTCCATTTGTTTAATTAAAATAGTTAAAAATATATAAAAAAGAAAAGATATAAAATATGTTTAATATTTTTAAGTATATATATATATATCATTCAAAATTTGTTTAAATTAAAAATTTAGTTGTATAACTATAATGTTTCTTTAACACTTGATTTCAGAATTCATGGAAATGATGACCGGGGAATAAACATCTTGGCATTTCGACGTTTCATTTAATACAACTTCAAAACGACACAAGTGCGACAGCCGTGTTCAATTCTCAAATTATCTGCGTGTCTTCTAAAGAAAAGCCAAAAAAAAAAAGAAAAAAAAAAGTTGCAATGCAAACGAGAACAGTGCCTAAAAGCGTGCAATGATGTGTCTCCCAATGTTACGACGCTTCGTCTATGGAAGCTGTTTGGATCTCGAGGCGATTTGAAACGTGTTTCAATCAATACCACGAGAATATGGCCTCGTTTGTAGATGTGTTTCTTCTTCCATCACAACGAGCGCTGTGACTCAACTGTCACAAAAAATAACGAATCACGAGTCCCAATACATTTGCATCGCGCCTACTAAGTTTTTCATGGACAGTATTTATTTGTTGTTAATAAAACGCTATTGAAAAGATATTGAGATTTGTTTCCCTTAATTCGACCGTGCAAATATCGTTCGGGAGGGGGTAAAAACCAAATCGTCGATCGCCTAGACTTTTTATTTCTTTAACATTTGATTCGTAATCACAATTTGAGATTTCTTCGTAATTGACATGTTAATAGTCGTAAACATAATACAATACAATACGTTTAAAAAAATAGAGTCGCTAACAATAGACTAGAAAATTCGATAACTATAAATAGTGGCACTAATAAACTATGAAATTTTCATCGCGACCAACTTGTTCGCGAAACACTACGATCGCGATTGCGAGAGAATCAACATTCTCGCTAAACAAATTTATAAACTTTGCTCGTTTATGCGCATTCACGAGAGAGAATGGAACGTAATTTAGTTAAATAACGTATGACTTAGAACATTACTCGCACAGACGCGGACTAGACTATACAATTTACAGAGACAAGAGACCATAAATTGGTTTGAATAGGATTGAAATCCTTGCATTGTTGAAGAGCTTTCGCGGAGAACATTTGCAAATGTTCCAACTATGCATTCAAATTTTTATTGAATATTACCAGAGCAATAATTCGAATACCTTTTTAATCCGTGCAACCAAACTACTTTCACGTATACTAATTTATTTACCTCTATCAGAGTAGTGGAATGGTTCTATATACTTCAATGGTCCTCATGCTTAGAACGAGAAAAACTTTCTCCCTTATATATAAATATATACAATAGTCTTTAAATGCTAATTTACGTGTCTTTTTTTTTTTTTATTTCTTTTCGTATTCTTTTCTTAACTAGAATAAATGGTATCGCTTACTAGAAAGATTAAAATGAGAAAAAAATATAATCTGATGCGCTTAAGGTTCTGCGAATCGTGTGTGTGCGTTCTTGATACAGTAGATTGGCTGAGCAAAATATTTGCAAAGTAGAAGTATTAGAAAAATAAAGAAGTTCTTCCGATCGGTAACTTTCGGATTCTTCGTCGCTTCTCCTCCATTATACATACCGGAAATCTTACACGAGAGTTTGCAAATCATCATCCTCCGGGCTTTTATTATCGGGAGGCGAAAATAAATGTCACATTTTAAACAAATGTGGGAACTCGTTGCTAATTTCGCGTACCGATTGTTGATCTTCTTGACTTTCTCCAGTCTCCTCGCAAAATATTCTATTCAACAAACATTTTTTATGTATTGTGTAACGATTGTAGTTGCAATAGTATTATGACAGATACCTTGTGAAGCATTTTAATAGGTCTTCGGAACGATATTTATGTTCGTTATAACTGGAAGTGCGAAGTACTCGTCGACATAATTCCAAGTATTGTCTGCGCTGTAATATCAATGGCTATGTCGTATCTATTCGTTTCTGTAAGAGCGATAAAAGTTTAAATACTTTTCAGTACCTTGTCGCCGGGGAACATGTCGTACAACTGACGCAATATAATATCGATTAAAACTTTCACGTCATTTGTATAGAATAAACCTGCCGTGATGTCGTTGCTGAACAGATCGATAAACAGTTTCAGTACGGAATGCGGGGGCGGCGGTTCGTGATCGAATATTCGCACAGGATCCTCTGTAACGGATCACAGGTTCGCTGGAATTTCGATTTATCTCGTATAAAATACGCTTTGTCTCGCTTTGTCTCACCTTCTCGATTGAACAAAAGCAAGATCTTCTCGGTGAAATTCTTTGCCACTGTTCTCTCTTTTAACGCGTTCAAGACTATATTTTCCGAGTTTGTGAATTGCAAGTTGTACGACAATATCAAATTCACAAACAAATCCGGAATTTGATCTTCCAAATCCATGTCAGGCGGATTCTCTATCAAGTCCAAAATAAACGCTATAAAATCCGGACCCAGTTGCTCTGCAATAATAGTCAGAATTAAATTTTGTAGCAGATAGAAAAAAGATTCGGAGAGAAAATGCAATAGACGCATTACCTACTTTACTCACCCAAATGTGTAACTGGCATAGGTTCACCCATTGAAAAGATCATAGTAAGCAGTAACGAAGAATAATTTAATTTCGTTACGTTTCTAGGATTACTCCTCATATCTCTATATTTAAAGACACGTATCAAGTCGTTAATCGCGTGTTGTATGAATTAACGTAGCTTACCAAATATTACCTTGCTAGTTCCATAGGCAATATACTATTTAACATTATGGTCAAGATCACAGAATCTAGACTGCACATTACTCCAAAAGACTGTAAAAGCAATTGCCTAATAGTCCATCTTGGCTCCATTTGATAATATTGTATCAGTATATTAACTCCGTTATACTGATTCTGTTGTAAAACATATCTAGATACATTTGCATCTGCATTAGTCTGTGAAATCAAGAAATTATCAAGCAACCTGAAAACAGAATAGTGAGCTTCTTTAACGCATTACGCATATAGCATACCAATATCGACGTAAGTTCCTTTATATAATCAACAATAATAGATTCGTCTTCATAAAGCATCCAATTTCTTTGTTGAGAATCTTCTTTACAAGAAGTAAGCTCTGTAAAAATTACTTTCAATCTGTTAGCGTCATACGTTTCTTCTATGCTCATCTGTGATACTGTGAATGGTGTTTCCAATTGATGCAACAAGGCATCGAAATAGTGGCCCACATTTTGGGGTAACAACTGTTGCAATCCAGTTACAACAACCGTCACTGCCACCTTCGACATTTCATAGCTTAACTGAGTATTTCTACGCACTTGGTCAAGTAACTGATAAGCAGTATGAGAGTTAATATCACACAATGAATTTTTCTTTTTTATAGGCGAACTAGTAGGTGTCTGCCTAAGATTAGAACTCTGAGGAGGACTTTTACGAAGTTCCGCCTGAATTTTCTGCGACTCAGAGGAAGACTGACGCAGCAGAGATTGCACCTTTTGTTCATTTGTTGGCGTGCGTTGACACTGCGGAACAACCGGTGCTTCCTCCCGCTTTGTATTATTATGCACGGTTGTCTGCGCTGTCATGTACGAAGTATTACTTTGAATAGCATTAACATCTCCTTCTTGAGTGTCACAAACAGGCGATGAACACGTTTCATTGTTAGGCGTTATATTCCCAAAGTCTGGGGGCATCGGAGCTTGCTTCTTGGGTTTTTTATTAGATTCTGCCTGTCTCTTCTTCTCTATCAGTCTCAGAAGAAGGTCTTGCTTGTCCAATTGCAGTCCGGTTTGTTTCTTAGTTTCGGCCTTTACATTTGTTATACAATCTTCCAGGAACTCGATCAATACTTGAGACGACACCTGAAAAGTATCTTGATCCTTGAAGATCTCTGGATATTTACTATAATCTAACTACCATACCTTCACAGTGGTGACGTAATTTGAAGGAATATATCCGATTTGGCCATCCTTGTTGACCACCTGCCACCAGTTTCTCTGTTTGGTATTGGTCTGATACAAGATGAAGTGATCACCCTCCTGAAAGCTGAGAGTTTTCGCGAATGTGGCCTTGAAATCATAGAGAGCCTTGAGCACCTCGTAATTCTCTAATGTGAGACAAAACGACAGCAGAAGGACGATTAGAGATGTTTCAAAAAAGAATGTTGAGATTAGAATGTTGAGAAAATCGACCAACTCACCTAACCTCATCGAATTGTCACCCATGATTGCGTATCGAAGCGATATCCGTGCTCTGGGGGGACAACGCCCAGGTGAGAAGTAAACGGAGAACCGTCTACCACCGCTCGCTAATTTCACTTTCATTCGTGCTCGACATATTATTTTTATACTGTCTCTCTCTCTCTCTTTTTTTTGTTGGCCAACCGTACAGATTATAGAATCCGAGGGGGGGCCCTCTATGCTCTATATTCTATGTCGTGAGAGTTGCACGCTGACTAACTGTTGCAACGATGTACTGCCGCATGAAGCAGATTTTCAACGCATCGGCAGATTAATGTTTTCAGGGCCCACAGGATCGTACGTACGTACGTTCGAGTTAATTCGGACAGAGGTTAAAATGCGACACCAGTTTCAGGAGAAAAATCGAGGTTTAATTCGCAAATATGTAGCAAATCGTTCGCTTAATACATGAGCAGATAATCGATATCAAGCGAATGTCCAAGGAAACAACTTTGTTTCCTTCTCGTGGACTCGTGGACCGTTACAAATCGAGACAACTTCAGAAGTTTCATCCGTGTTCTGTATTGCACTTATGCTTCCATTTAGCCAGCCAGCCGCATGCCACGATCGATCGAAGCTGCTCGGTGGGTAACGAAGCTGCGAGTTCGATGCAGAGGCATCGTTTCCGCGGTGTCCTTTAACCTAAAATAGAAGTATGCGATATAGAGGAGAAATTGAGAATCGTGCGATAATTTGCGATTCAACGCGATAAATCCGCACGAATCTCACAAAGGGCAGTAATCTGGGCGCCATCCAATTCCAATTATAATGCCCCGTCGTGTAGTACAATTTGGATTTCGAACGTTATTGGTAGAACAACGGGGTAAGTTGAGGAACATCATCGAAAATCGAGTAATATTTCTTATAAATATCGTTCTTTTTTTCTATTACAAAGTTTCTGTATATTCCGTTCGTTTCTAGAAGTGAAAACGTCAAGTTATAACATCGTTTTGTATGCATTGTAGAACAAGTTTTATAAATAAATTTGTCGATGCGTCTGAGGAATTTGCCTACGAAGATAAGCACGCAATGTATTGCTTGGAAGATGTGATTGTAAACAATCGTTAGTTTAATACTACTTAACAGGGATTTTTAAACAAGTTACACTGAAATGATTAACACAGTGTGTGTTAGCCGAGTTGATGTTTTGTATACTAAGGTAGCAAGTAACAATTCGCACGGCAAATGAACTTATTGCGAAAACGTATGTCAAAATTCGCAAATTTAGTGAGTAGAAAGTGAGTATTATTTTTGAAATGTGATTACGAATTAGTTTCATAAAATTTATTGAGACATAACCTCTGTTACTAATGTGCATACACTGATCCACGAAAATATTTGAAACGTGACATACTTACAATGAAAATGAATACGTAATCTCCAGAACATTAGATATTTTTAAATTTCTATATGTATGATACATATTTAAATTTCTATATGTATATACACAAAAATGATTTTATTATAATTAATACGAAATCATGATCACAAAAGTATTTACAGTGGTTATATTAATATGTATTTTAGAATTTTCAGTGAAAAGTCGATCTATTTTTTGCTTTTATCACTTCTCAAAGATAATGGAATAATATTAACTTTGAAGTAATATTTACATCAATAGATTGCCTCACAAAGTTTTTACTTTAGTTTGTTTTTCAAAGTAATTTGTAATTCTTAATCTTCTGTCTATCTTATTTTATGAATGCTCTGTAGGATTGAGATCTGGGCTTTGTGATGGAACGGATATAATAACTATTCTTTGACCATTTAGTTGAATGCCTCGGATCGTTGAAAATAACAATTCTTTAAAAATTTTTTTCTTTTTTTTCTTTTAACATTTCTTTTAAAATTTTCAATATTTCACTTTATCTAAAATTCCATAAATCAAAATAATACAGTCCCATATCATCAATAGTCTTCCACCATATTTTTCTTTAGGCCGTAGATTTAATTCTGTATTTTTTGCCCTTCATTATTTGTTATAATTTATTACCATCAAATTTACTTTTTCATCAGAAAATATCATACTCCAGAAGAATTATCTTTGTTAATAAACAAAGGCATAGTTTAAACATAAAACTTTATTCTTTTAATAAGAATAGTTTTTTCCTTAGAACTTGATTATTTGAATAAAGTTTTCTCAGTAATCTACGACATAATTCTGGATGTACTTTTTTATTGAATTGTGTAAAGAGATCTTTTTGAATATGGCAAATTAAAGTTCTTTCTTCTCTCTCCTTTCTTTATTTCTCTGGTGGTCCAATACTTAGGAAATATATTCGCAATATCTTCTTTATTTTTATATTTTCTGAGAATATAATAGAATTGTATATAGTTTTTTCCTCTACAGATTTTTCTTCTTCATATCATTATTATTATTAATTCTTCTTCGCTTCTGATTTTTTTGCAATTCATTTCATGTGGACTTACTTCAGAATAATTATAACACAAATATCAACACTGCGTTTGCGACAAACTAATTGCGTATGAAGCAAGAAATCTTTGTTTACATTCTCTGGTTATTCGAATCATTAATACGAGAAGAATTCACATAAATTTTCACAGTAGCTTTGTTACTCATGATTTTGTATTAACCTCTCTGAGACGCATGCTGTTTGATTTTAATGAAATTAATACTTCTCTTCCATGCGTCATAGATATAAAAATTTTAAAATATCCATTAGATATTCTGTGTCCATTTACATTGCAAGTATGTCACGTTTCAAATATCTTCATGGACCAGTGTAGAAACATAATTTAGAAATAAGGATACATGTCACGAACGTTACACTGATGCACTTCACGTTGCAGTATTTCACTGAAATAACCATCACGTCACGATGCCGGGCAAAATAAAAGTGAAAATATTAGCAGGCCGGAATTTGCCAGTAATGGATCGTTCTGGCGATACGACGGACGCATACGTCGAATTGAAGTTTGGCAATATTACATTTAAAACGGACGTGTGCAGAAAGTCGTTGAACCCCCAATGGAACTCAGAGTGGTACAGGTTTGAAGTTGACGACTCCGAGCTGCAGGACGAGCCGTTGCAGATTAGACTGATGGACCACGATACCTATTCCGCGAACGATGCAATAGGCAAAGTTTATATAAATTTAAATCCATTGTTGTTACCCGGCGTTCCACCCACGGTTAAAAATATCTGGACGTTAGAGGCTGCGATGAACACCAACGCGGGATCTCAGAGTGGTGTGTACTGACGTTTCTCTTAATATTAGAAACTTACTTCAGACTTATACTTACCCTGTAAGCTTTGTTCTAGGTTCCGTCATGACTGGATGGATACCGGTGTACGACACGATGCACGGGATTCGCGGCGAAGTTAATATCATTGTTAAAGTGGAACTGTTTTCTGATTTTAATAAATTCAGACAATCTTCCTGCGGAGTACAATTTTTTTATTGTAAATATACAGAGCTATATTCTTGAATTGAATACTATTAGATATTGTTTCGTCTGTGTATTTGGTACGTATAACCACAATGTTCTTTTTCAGCGCCAAATATACCTCACGGTTATCATACTCAGAGCATACACGGTTTTGTAGAGGAATTAGTTGTTAGCGATGATCCTGAATACAAGTGGATTGACAAAATAAGAACACCCAGAGCGTCGAACGAGGCGAGGCAAACGTTGTTCTTTAAACTGAGTGGAGAGGTTCAAAGAAAAATTGGCCTGAAAGCTTTAGACCTTGGTGGAAATGCTGTTATTGGGTAAATCATAGATAGTAATATTAGGATCTTAATTGAAGAGATTTTTATTAAACTATGTTCCCACGATCAGGTATTTGCAAAATTTTGACTTGGAAGGTGAATCTGGCATTGTAGCTCGAGGCATAGGTACAGCCGTTACACTTGTCAAACTACAGGATACCTTGAACTTTCCGTCTGACAATATAGAAGAGTAAGTGTATACAATTATTGTCCATTACATCGCATTTAGCTTAAATCTTCTACAAATCAGTTCTGCATTAATCGTGTCCTAATCCTTATATTCTTGAATTTTTTTTTTTTATGAAATATTTCTTTAATACGTAACAAAAATTGGTAATACTAAAACTGTATTAAAAGTGTTCTGTGTTGTGAATTATAATGCTGATTATTTAATAGACAAAGTTTGTCCTACTGCACATTTTTTTCTTACATCGCTTATTTGTAACCAAGTGCATGTAGATTATTTTTTTTTTTTATTAAAAAAATCGTTGGTCTTTTAGTTTATTTTAGTGACAAGATATTAATTAAATTTTCGTTTATTGTACTTGATGCACTAATGTACGTTTATTTCATTTTCTAAATAGTTCAAAGTCTGATGCGTCAAATGAATCAAATATGATTCTGGTCATTTTTTCTTCTCTTTTTTTTCATTCGTAGTATATCATTCATACTTCTCAAGCGTAGTAGATCTCATTTCAACTTCTATGCATTGGGTGTCCTATTTGTTTAGCGCTGTTACTTACATACACAAAAAGACATGAATACTTTATAATCTTTTCACCTCTGTATTTTACGATAGTTTACAATTATCATTTATTGTTTATTTTAACGAAAGAAAGTTTGGTTTCTTGATACGTTTTTTGCCAGCATAAGAACATAGACCACTGCAAAACGTTGCAGCAATACTTTACAAGACTTCTAATCAACATATCATTTTTTTAGGACACCCGGTATATAGAAGCTAGATCGAGGTCCGATGCGCGTGCATTAAATCCAGGACGAAGTGTGTGTAGAGAACGGGAGACTGGAAAAATGACTAGGTACGCTACACGCGCATCAAACTTTGATCGTTGAAAAAAAAAAGAGAGTAGCTATATTTCAATTGAATGACGAAATCGAACCGAGCGCTCTTATTATATTCATAAAAAACTAATTAGGTTTCTTTTCTTTCTTTCTATCCACCTGCATGTGTCTGGTGTAGGACATTCTTTTCACAACACAAAGCACAAAAGGATGGTACAAGACTCGATGAAAATATGCCGTTGTATCCCGTTTCTCCCTCCGTGCACATCCTTGATCATCCTGTTCTTACGAGTACGCATGCGAAGGACACTCTGTCACATCGTACGAAACTATCCAGAAACCCTCGACGAGTTGTAACGAAGACCGAATGCCCTTGCCGTAAAGTGGCAGCTACTGAGAAGTCGTCGAACGATTCGAAGAAACCAGCTGCAGTTTCGTACCCGAGTCTGACAGAGTCGATCGTTCAAGATGCGTCCGTGAGAATGATGCTGGCGTTGGAGGACGAAAGGGGCGAGAACAAGAATATACTGGACGTGCGGAGAAACTTGAGGAGGCTGTTCAGCACGGCCGAGGCGGAGAGTAAAACGAGTGCAAGAACAGCGAATAAAGACATGAAAACGAGAGAAGGCATGGCCGCCCTTTTGATAAAGTCCATACACAATGTTCCTTTGGAGGATGTCAAGGAAGATCATCATCATCATCATGAGGCATCCAGCGAGGAGAAACGTGGGAATATTGACGAATACGAGGAAGGCGATATTAAAGACGATGCTCTAGGCAATATTTGTCCTACGATAATACCGAAAGAACAGACGAAGAAAAAGTACGACTCGTCGTTCGAAGAGAATACACCCAGCTCCAATGGTTTCTCGAACGAGTCTTCGATCGACAGTGCTGGCTACAATATTCTGAACGATTCGAGATTCTCAGTGGACGAGGAGTTGGGCGTAATCGGCCAGTTTAGAAAGCTTCGCAGAGCCGATACGTTCCCCCCGTTGAAAGGAACGTCGACGCAGTCAAAGTTGCAGAGAACAGACAGCGATACTCGTCCTCTTCGCGAACAAAGCGCATCTCCCTCGTTTATCAAGTATCTATCGCTGAACCAAATATTGACGTTTAATCTCGAATTCCCGGCGAGTTCAGAAATGAAAAAAGATCGTCCGCAAACAGCCAAGGCGAGGCTTAATGAAAGTCTGGAAAGCAACAATTCTCAGGAAGACTTGAATCTTCCGCTGGCGACGAGCACGCCCGTGGAAATTCGATCTCTTCCTTTCTCCGAAGGTCAAACTACATCCGACTCGATTGTCGACGTTGTGAAGAAATTGACTGTTCTCGTCACTGACACCGAGAGGTGCAATGAGATTTCCGTGATTGAGGAGTACACATCGAATGACGTGAACGATACGAAAGACAATACGGATGGATCGTCTTATTCTGAAGCAGTCTCTCCACCATACTCTCTGCTGC